CAAATAAGAATACATTATATGCAATTGCTATCAATCCCGGAAGAATAAATAGCAATTAGTTCAGAAAGAATATTAGATGAATATTGCTCAGCAATAGGAATCCAATCAACTAAGCAAAAACACTCCCTTGGAGCAAGTATCGAACTCTGTTGATTATAGAAGTCTCAGCTGAATATTCTGCTATAACAATAACTGCTTAATACATCTTTCGAGTAAGAAAGGTTCAGGATAGTTCTCTCAGAAACCTAGATGCCATAGGCAGATAGCGATAGCAGGGCGAGAGTATATGCTCAGCACAACTACAAGCAGTAACAACTCGGATTGCTCCGATATCACTGAACGAAGCATTCAGGCGCTGGAGGAAGGGCTTAATAACGGTGCTCTTCACCATTCCCCATCGCTTGTACCAAATACCATAATCAGAGAAATGAATAAAGGATGATATCCTCTTAGTTATTAGTATAAATATCTAAATAATACTGAAAATGCTTCTTAAGCAATGGAAAAATCAAGCTAGAACGAATGATCTAACGATTTACCGAAGTTTCTTATGAACAATGAACCCAAGAAGCTTATAGGAAGGTTTCTCTTTAGCATTGAATGAAATAAGGAAACAATATGAGTTGAATATTTTGTTTATAGGATAGAATTAGAGGAGCTCTTTATTTGCATTTCCTTATAAAACATCGAGATATGAGAAGATAAGAATTCTCGGATTAGCTTACTTTACAATCTATATTATGAATTAGCTTAAATCTTCTGCACCTATTATAGCTGCAGAATGTATTTCTTAGATAAGGTGCAATATGAATGGTTTTCTGTTAGAGAATTAGGATAAATCCTTCAAGCTATTAAAGAACAGAAACTCCGCTTTAGGAAGATTCTCAACAAACAGCACTACAATGCATATATCAAACTATCAGATAACTATCTCATGCAATGTATAGATAAGAAGATAAAATGATAGCAGTGCAAAACAATACTCTGCACGATTCACATTAATAATAAGATTTGTAACTAGCATTAATAGAAGAAAGATTAGGAATAATAATGATATAAGCAAAAGCAAGCTAAGAAGCTTGCTCAAGAAGCAGCAAAGCAGGCTCAGAAGGACAGACAGTTCTTAACAGACTCAAAAGAATAGGATTGCTTGTAAAGGGACTGCAGATAATTAGACTAGAACAGTTTCTATATAAAGCTTCTAGAACAAATTATGCTTACATTAAGTTCAACATATATATTCAAGAATACAAATACAGCATACTATTAGATAGTAGCGCTCAGGGAAACTTTATATTCCTATATATTATTAATCAGGTATAACTACAATGGAGATGGAAGAGGCGCTTATATATCCTTAGCACTGTAGAAGAACAATCTGTTGCATACAACTAAGGAATAATCGATAAGGAAACTAATTATTTATCTGTTTTGATTCAAGAATGCATAATCAGAGCTTCTTTTGATATCATGGATATAGCATAGTATGAGCTGATTATAGGACTTTCATAGCTCAAAGAGCATAATTCTCGAATCGATTGGACTACTAGCTAGATTTCATGGAAATAAGCTATACCCAGAGAGATAGTTACAATCAATAGCGCAGAATCGAAGCCAGTAATTGAAGAACATTCAGAAAAAGAAGCTTTATACAACTTCATACATACCTTCAAGTCAGCAGAGCTAGCAGTTCAAAGAGAAGAATCTAGTAATAAGCAAATCCAAACAGTACCAGAGCGCTAACAGGTTAGCAAAACAATGGAAGCAAGGCTCTCAGTAAGTTAGTTCGCTCCGAAGCAACAAGGAAAAGCTTCAGAATGTGAATTGTGGAACTATACAAGAAAAACCTCGAAATCAGGCTCTCGAGTGCTCAGCTCAGCTCGGAGCGAACGCTCAAGGCTCTTAAAAATACCATCAGAAAAGAAGTATGCTCAACAGTATCTACTATTCCTCCAGATAGCAGAAACAGCACAAGAACCAGAACCAATACTTGCAAACATATTACAAGAATATTACAAGTTCAAAAAACTATTCCAGAAAGAATTGAATACAGAATTACTAGAATACAGCCCATACAACCACAAGATTCTGCTACAAGAAGAGAAATAGCTTAAATTCTTCCTTATCTATAAACTAGATAAAGTATAGCTAGAAGCATTTAGAGAGTATCTCAATAAGAATCTTAAGAAAGAATATATATGATCATTGCAATCACCAGCAGAATATCTCATTCTGTTTATACTTAAGAAGAATAGCAAGCTTAAGCTATGCATTAACTACAAGCAACTTAATAACATTATAATCAAGAACTAATACTTATTGCTATTCATTAAGAAATTATAAAATAAATTGCAAGAAGCACAATGGTTTATAGTTCTAGATTTAAAAGAAGCTTACAACTTGATTAGAGTAAAGAAAGAAGAAGAATGGAAAACTGCTTTTAGAATATGCTATGAATACTACGAATACTTGGTTATGCTCTTTGATTTAACGAATACCCCAGCTTTATTTCAGGAAATGATTAATTACATTCTATATAAGCATCTAAATCAGTTCATCATTGCCTATCTCGATAATATCCTTATTTACTCTCGAATGCTGAAAGAATATAAGAAATATATGAAAATAGTATTGCAAATGCTTCAGAATGCGAAACTCCTTGTGAAATCTGCAAAGAGCTACTTTCATATACAAAAAGTTGACTATCTCAGATTCACAATCAAGCCAGAATGCATTAAGCTACAGAAAGATAAGATAGAAGCTATTAGAAATTAGCTAATTCCCAGAAATGTTAGGAATATTAAGTCTTTCCTCGGATATATTAACTTCTATAAACAGTTCATCAGAAACTACAGCCAGATCGCACATCCTCTTACAAATCTTATCAAAAAAAAGCAACTCTTCAAATAAACTCTCAAAGCACAAGAAGCCTTTAATAAGATTATTAAGTATATTATCTTAGAATCAGTTCTATATAAAGCAAACTCTTATAAATCCTTTGAAATTGAAACTGATGCATTAGAGTATATACTCAGAAAACAACTTGATTAGCAAGATAACTAAGAATGTTTAAGAATTGTAAGCAACTTCTCAAAGAAGTTGAATAGCTCAGAAATCAATTACAGAATTTCTGATTAGAAACTCATAGCAATAGTAAAAGCTTTCAAGAAGTAGCAATACTATCTCATTAGCGCACAATACTCGATTATAATTTACTCGGATTATAAGAATCTGATTATATTTATAATAATTAAGATTTTGAATAAGCAATAAATCAGATAAGCAGAATTCCTTTTACAGTTCAACTTCAAGATTATATACTGCAAAAGCTTGGAGAATGAATAAGCAAATGCTTTCAGCAAAAGATTAGATTATTAAGATGCAGACTTTTTAAATATATAGAACATCTTCGCCCAAAATGGATTAGGAAATCTTATTAATGCATACAAAGAGCTAAATGCTGCTCTCAGAATAGAACTCTTGAAAAGGAATTCAGAATCAATGATTTCGAACGAACAAAACAACTACATTGAAGATATATACAATGCATCAGCATACGAGTATCAGAGAGTTAAAGCAATCTATGAATGCATTAAAAGATACTGGAATCTATTAGATCTTAGGAAAAGAATTAAGAATATCTTATAATAATGCAACAGCTGCAAGAAGAATAAAGCAGAAAGATACAAGCTTTACAAACTACTGCATCCTTTATTAGTATTTATAATTGTTTAGCAATTTATTAGTCTAGACTTTATTACTAAGCTACTTCTCTTATGAAAACTCTTAACTAAAATGTAATACAATAGCATTCTAGTAGTAATTTGCAAACTAAGCAAATATGCTTACTTTCTCCTCTATAAGAAAAGCAATACAGCAGAAGAACTCGTATATATATTCCTCAGAACAATTATTGCTAATCATAGCACGCTGGAAGAAGTAATTTCCAACAGAAATAGAAAGTTTAATTCAAAGTTTTAAACTTTGCTTATAAAACAGCTTGGAATATACTACAGAATATCTACAGCATTTTACTTACAAACAGATAAATAAATGGAAAGAATGAATCAAGTTATTAAATAATATCTATAATACTATATTAATCAGAAACAGAATAATTGGATTAACCTATTGCTTCTTATACAGTTCGCTTATAATAGCGCAAATACAAGCACAACAAAGAAATTACTATTCTTCATACTCTACAGATATAACCCAACAGCTTATCATGAAGCATTGCTAGAAGCAAATGCAGAAGCTGCAGACAAAAGAGTTAAGAAGATTAGGAAAGTTCAGGAAGAACTCCAATCAGAATTACAATTCATTCAAGAACGAATAATGCAATATGCAAACTCCAAAAGAATTGAAAGACTAATCCTACAGAAGGAAGATAAGGCTTATCTACTTCAAAAAAATATCAAAACAATCAGATCCAGCAATAAACTTGATTATAAAAAGTTGGAATCTTTCAAAATCTTGCAATAAATCTTCCTAGTTAACTACGAGTTAGCATTATCTCATAGAATAAGAATATACTCAGTTTTCCACATTTTATTGCTAGAACTAGCAGCATAGAAAATACTAACAGATAATGCAGCAGAAGTGGAGAATAATAAATCAGAATACGAGGTAGAGAAGATTCTCAAGCACAGAAGCATAGATAATACAAGGGAATATCTCGTTAAATGGAAAGATTACTTAGCAAGCGAAAATTCTTGGAAACTGCAGAAAAACGTTAAAAATGCTTAGGAAAAGGTAGCTGAGTATTGGAAGAAGAAAGAAACCAGCGCTTAGGATAACTGCTCCGCTCCGAACCGAGATCTAGAAGCCTTAGGAATCTTGCTTTCCAAAAATCCAGAATAATCTATAACAGCTCTACTAGGATTAACAGAGTTCCAGTTAAAACCATCAAACAAGAGATTCTCAGCTAAAATACTCTTAGCTGATACTGCCTTACAAACCGATACAGCAAGATTGCATTTCTCCTCCTTACAACATTCTTACTTATCCAGCTTATTAAGGGATTCAAAGCTTGCATTTACCATCTGAGCGCCCCGGGAGGCAAGAGATCTACGCTGAGTGCGCAGGCAGGCAAGATGAGCAGCGGATTCCAAGATCTTCGTACGAGCTTCGTTAAGGATCTCCAGCGCTCAACGATGAGCCCTCTCCAACTCTGCCTCCGCTTCCCACTCCTTCGATTCCAGCCTCTTATTTTCTGCTATAATGCGCGAGACTAAGGAAAGAAGAGGAATATTAGCAAAGGGATTAGAAGGGAAGAAAAGAGGGATTTACGAGCAGAAACAGGAATCCTACAGCTATTATAAGAACGAGCACAATGAATATACTGAGAACAATGCTTTGCATCATCCATCATCTTGCATACCAGATCCTAGAAAGTGCAAGCAGTATAAAGCATAATCTCAAAACTAAACTAATCAATAGCTAGGAAAAGATAGTTATACTGTTCAGTTTTCTTAGAAAAAGATTTCTCAATCCTATTCAACATCTCAATTAGGAAAGCAAGATCAAGTATACAGAAAACTTGCTAGAATACTTACAGAAGATTGTTGGAAACAACAACTGATAGAAGGGAGATAATATTATAATCTATCTAATATGCAGATTACAAAATAGATTATGAGTAATAAGGATTAGATATTAAGAACTCAATGTTCTGACAAAGCATTAATTACATAACCTAGGAAGGAAATAGGGATGGATCATTAGAAGCACCAGGAGCACAGCTTACTAGGCTCACCCGGATTACTACTGTGATCCGCGGGGCGCTGCTAGACAGTGATTCATACCGAAGAGCTGGATATATAAGGACACGTTCATTACTATTAGATGGATTCAGTATATAGCTCTTCAGTTATTAATCTAAGTATTCAGTCTTCTATACTGAGTAGCTCCAAAGGCAGTAAATACTTGCATCGCTTATTAGGACTTGTACAGTTCCGTATTCAAGGACTTGACACTTTGATACTGCTCTTGTTAGCATAAATCCCTTCGTATACTTAGGAATCTTTGGATTGCTGCAGTGCTCATTACACAAGGGTTAGAATTGGATTATAATAACATAGGTAAGCTGCTCACTGAATCACTACGATATAGATCACGAATCACTACAATGCAGATTATGAATCACAGTGAGCCAGATAAGCTACAATAAAGAGCTGAATATATAAGGACACATTCATTCCCATTAGATAGATCTTGTATATAGCTCTTCAGTTGTTAATCTAAGTATTCAGTTTCATATACTAAGTAGCTCCAAAGGCAGTAAATACTTGCATCGCTTATTAGGACTTGTACAGTTCTGTATTCAAGGATTTGATACTTTGATATTGCTCTTGTTAGCATAAACCTCTTCGTATACTTAGGAATCTTCGGATTGCTGCAGTGCTCATTACATCCTAGCAGTGCCTTGTAGTAAGCTATTGGATTGTATCTATAGAGTATGAAGAATAGTAACTTCTTTGTTATGCTTATATCTGTGCTATTATAAGCGAACTGTATGAGAAGCAATAGATTAATTTAGTTGTTCTGTTTCTAATTGATATAGTATTGTAGATATTATTCAATAACTTGATTTATTCTTTTTATTTGTTTATTTATTTGTGAGTAAAATGCTGTAAATATTCTGTAATATATTCCGAGCTGTTTTATAAGCGAAGTTCAAAACTTCGAATTGAACTTTCTATCTCTATTAGAGATTACTTTCTCTGATATGCTGTAGTTAGCAATAATCATTCTGAGGAATGCATATACAAGTTTCTCTGCTGTACTGCTTTCCTTATAGAGGAGAAAATAAGCATACTTGCTTAGTTTGCAAATCATTACTAGAATGCTATTATATTGCATCTTAGTTAAGAGTTTTTGTAAGAGAAGTAGCTTGATAATAAAGTTTAGACTGATAGATTGCTAAATAGTTATAGATACTGATAAGGAGTATAATAGTCTATAAGGCTTATATTTTTCTGCTTTGTTCTTCTTATAGCTATTACATTATTATAAAATACTTTTAATCTTTTTCCTAAGATCTAATAAATTTTAGTATCTTTTAATGTATTTATAAGTTGCTTTAACTCTCTAGTATCTATATGCTAATACATTATATATATTCTTGATATAGTTATCTTATTTATCTGAAATCATTAATTCTGAATCTCTTTCCAAGAGTTCGATTCTGAGAGCAGCGCTTAGCTCCTTATATACATTAACGAGATTTCCCAATTCATTCTGAATAAAGATATTCTATATATTCGAAGAATCTTCATCTCAATAGTTTGATCTTCTGCTAAGAGCATCTGCTTGTTCGTTTTCTGAGCTCTTGCAGTATACAATCTTGAAGTTGAACTGTAAGAGGAATTCTGCTTATCTAATTTATTATTTGTTCAAAATCTTAGTTATTATGAATATAATTAGATTCTTGTAATCTGAGTAAATTATAATCGGATATTATATGCTAATGAAATAGTATTACTACTTCTTAAAGGCTTTTATTATTGCTATAAGTTTCTGATTAGGGATTCTGTAATTGATTTCTAAGCTATTTAACTTTTTCAAGAAGTTGCTTACAATTTTTAGATATTCTTAATTATCTTGCTAATTAAGTTGTTCTCTGAGTATATATTCCAATGCATTAGTTTCAACTTTAAAAAGCTTATAAGGATTTGCTTTATACAGAATTAGCTCTGAGATAATATGCTTAATGATCTTATTAAAAGCTTTTTGAGCTTTGAAGATTTATTCGAAAGACTGTTTCTTCTTGATGAGATTTGTAAGAGAATGTACAATTCAGCTATAGTTCTTAATAAACTGCTTGTAAAAGTTGATATATCCAAAGAAAGATCTAATATTTCTGATATTCCTGAGAATGAGCTAATTCCTAATAGCTTTTACTTTATCTTTCTGTAGCTTAATGCATTTTAGCTTGATTATGAATTCGAAATAGTTAACTTTTTGTATGTAAAAGTAGCTCTTTGCAGGTTTTACAAGAAGCTTTGCATTCTGAAGCGTTCGCAATACTATTTTCATATGTTTCTTATGTTCTTCTAATGTTTGAGAGTAAATAAGGATATTATTGAAGTAAGCAATGATGAACTGATTCAAGTATTTATATAGAATATAATTGATTATTTCCTGAAATAAAGCTGGAATATTCATTAAACTAAAGAGCATAATCAAATATTTGTAGTATTCATAGCATATTCTGAAAGCAGTTTTCCATTCTTTTCCTTTCTTTATTCTAATTAGATTATAAGCTTCTTTTAAGTTTAGAACTGTAAACTATTATACTCTCTGCAGCTTATCTTGTAATTCCTTGATAAGTAGCAATGGATATTAGTTCTTGATTATAATATTATTAAGTTGCTTGTAATTAATACATAATCTAAGCTTGCTATTCTTTTTGGATATAAATAGAATAGGATATTCTGCTGATAATTGCAATAATTGTATATATTCTTTCTTAAGGTTTTTGTTGAAATACTTCCTAAGTACTTCTAGCTATGCTTTATCTAGTTCGTAGATAGGGAAGAATTTGAGCTATTTTTCTTCTTATAGCAGGATTTTGTGATTGTATAAGCTGTATTCTAGCAATCTCGTATTCAATTCTTTCTAAAATAGTTTCTTGAACTTATAGTATTCTTGGGATATATTTGCAAGTATTAATTCTAGTTTTTATGCTGTTTCTGCTATCTAGAGGAACAGTAGATACTGTTGAGCATACTTCTTTTCTGATGGCGTTCTCGAAGGCCTTAAGCATTCGCTTCAGGCTGGATTAAGCGCTTGAGAGCTTGGTTTCGAGGTTTTTTCTGTATGGGTTTATAATTCACATTCTGAAGCTTTTCCTTGTTGCTTCGAAGCGAACCGATCTGCTGAGAGTCTCGCTTCCGTTGTTTTGCTAATCTGTTAGCGCTCTAGCACTGTTTGAGTTCGCTTATTACTAGGTTCTTCTTCTTGAACTGCTAGCCCTGCTGACTTGGAAGTATATATGAAGTTATCTGAAGTCTCTTTTCCTAAGTATTCTTTAATAATTAGCTTCGATTCTGCATTGTTGATTGCAACTGTTTCTCTGGATACAGCTTGTTTCTATAAGATCTGGCTAGTAGTTCAATCGATTCAAGAATTGTGCTTTTTGAGCTATAAAAGTTCTATAATTAGCTTATGCTATGCTGTATCTATGATATCAAAAGAAACTTGGATTGCATATTTCTGAATCAAGATAGGTAGGTAATTAGTTTCCTTATTAATTACTCTCTGGTTGTATGCAACAGGTTATTCTTTTATAGTGCTAAGAGTGTATGAGCATCTCTTTCATCTTTATTATAGTTATGCTTGATTAATGATATATAGAAATATAAAGTTTCTCTGAGTGCTGCTATTCAATAGTATGCTGTATTTGTATCTTTAAATATATATATCGAACTTGATATAAGCATAATCTGTTCTAAAAGCTTTATATAAGAACTGTTCTAATCTGATCATCTGCAGTTTCTTTATAAGCAATTCTATTCTTTTGAGTTTATTGAGAACTGCTTATTCTTCTAAGCCTGCTTTGCTGCTTCTTGAGCAAGCTTCTTAGCTTACTTTTGCTTGTATTATTGTTATTCCTAATCTTTCTTCTATTAATACTAGTTGCAAATCTTATTATTGATGTGAATTATATAGAGTATTGTTTTATACTGCTATTATTTTATCTTTTTATCTATATATTGTATAGAATAGTTGTTTGATAGCTTAATGTATGCATTGTAGTGCTATTTGTTGAGAATCTTTCTAAAGCGGAGTTTCTGTTCTTTAATAATCTGAAGGATTTGTTCTGATTCTCTGATGGAGAACTATTCGTATTGCATCTTGTTCGAAAAATGCGTTTTGCAGCTATGATAGATGCAAGAAATTCAAGCTAATTTGTAGTATAGATTGTAAAGTGAGCTGATTCAAGAGTTCTTATCTTCTTGTATTTCAATGTTTTGCAAGGGAATATAAGTAAAGAGCTTCTCTAGCTCTATCCTATAAACGAGATATTTAATTCATATTATTTTCTTGTTTTATTCAATACTAAAAAGGAATCTTTCTGTAGGTTTTTTGGGTTTATTGTTTATGAAAGACTCCGATGAATCATTAGATTGTTCGTTCTGGCTTGTTCTTTTCATTGCTTGAAAGGCGTTTTCAGTATCGTTTAGGTATTTATATCAATAATCAAGAGAGTACTATCTCTTATTCATATTCCTAATCATAGTGCTTAGCGTAAGCAATGAAGAATGTTAAAGAGTATTGTTGCTAAGCTCTTCTTTCAATACTTGAATGCTCTATTCTACAATATCAGAGCAGTTCGAGTTGCTATTCGTAGAAGTGCTGAGCGTATATTCTCATTCTGCT